TCTGTATAGTCATTTTTATCCTTTATTAATACATATTTTTTCAGAGGAGTGAGTGTATGACAGAATATAGTTTTACTCGTCATGAACATTTCAAAAACTATTTGAAAAAACAGAGCCCAAGAATGTTTTACTCACAAATATCATTTTCATTGGTTATTGATAGTTTTCATTTGGTGTTCAATGTTTTTACCTGATAGGGTCCTGTCTGTTGGGTATTTTTACACCAATGAGTATACATTATTTTAAGTAAATAATTCTGCATAAAATGCTTTTCAGGTTACTCCTAATTTGCATCTGTTCGAGTGCTGCCCCAAGTGTGTAACATGTTGCCTCACTGCAGTCTGATGAACAGTAAGTGAGAGGTCGTACCTTATGTTTGCATTATTAACTGCAGTAGAGTTCATGTGCCCAGTATGTGTGATGTATGAAGCATGGAACGGAAGGTCTGTTACAGGTACCCAGTTCACAAGTATATACTGGGTAATCACACAGAGTGCTGTTACACTAATGGGGTTTTGACATTTTTCAAAGCAACTAAAAAAAAAATGGGTAATGGTGATTTTTGTTTGCTTATCTGGAGCTCTTGTCTGACAGTATAACTGAATAGGAGCTTGTCTATATATTATACTGAGTAGGCTCTTGTCTATAAAGTATATTGAGTAGGCTCTTGTCTATATAGTATACTGAGTAGGCTCTTGTCTGACAGTATAGCTGAATAGGAGCTAGTCTATATAGTATACTGACTAGGCTCTTGTCTATAAAGTATATTGAGTAGGCTCTTGTCTATATAGTATACTGAGTAGGCTCTTGTCTATATAGTATATTGAGTAGGCTCTGTCTATATAGAATATATGAATAACCTCTTGTCTATAAAGTATATTGAGTAGGCTCTTGCCTATATAGTATACTGAGTAGACTCTTGTCTATATAGTAAATTGAGTAGGCTCTTGTCTATATAGCATATATGAATAGGCTCTTGTCTACATAGTATACTGAGTAGGCTCTTGTCCATATAGTATACTGAGTAGGCTCTTGTCTATATAGTATACTGAGTAGGCTCTTGTCTATATAGTATATTGAGTAGGCTCGTGTCTATATAGCATATATGAAATAGGCTCTTGTCTATATAGCATATATGAATAGGCTCTTATCTATATAGTATAATGAGTGGGCTCTTGTCTATATAGCATATATGAATAGGTTATTGTCTATAAAGTATAATGAGTAGGCTCTTATCTATAAAGTATAATGAGTAGGCTCTTATCTATAAAGTATAATGAGTAGGCTTTTGTCTATATAGCATATATGAATAGGTTATTGTCTATAAAGTATATGAGTAGGCTCTTATCTATAAAGTATAATGAGTAGGCTCTTGTCTATAAAGTATACTGAGTAGGCTTTTGTCTATATAGTATAGATATGAATAGGTTCTTATCTATATATTATAATGAGTAGGCTCTTGTCTATAAAGTATACTGAGTAGGCTCTTGTTTATATAGTATAGATATGAATAGGTTCTTATCTATATATTATAATGAGTAGGCTCTTTTCTATAAAGTATACTGAGTAGGCTCTTGTCTATATAGTATAGATATGAATAGGTTCTTATCTATATATTATAATGAGTAGGTTCTTGTCTACATAGTATGACGAGTCGGCTATGGCTCGTGTGATTCACCAAACATCTAACACCTGCATCCCTTCAGACACTTCAACATCCTTGGAACTAAGAAGTCCCTGCATGATCATTTTTTCCAAATTTTGTTGAAATAATTTAGTATTCAATGAAGTAATTGTATTTTCATGCATAGCTGTGAATAATGTGAGTCCCTTGTGTGCCTAGATATATAGTAATGTGTGAATTTAGCGCAGTAGTGAGTAAGTACACAGAGTGAATGAGTATGTATTTTACGCCGCTTTTAGCAATATTCCAGCAATATCATGGTAGGGGACACCAGAAATGGGTTTCACACATTGTACCCATGTCGGGAATCGAACCCAGGTCTTCAGCGTGATTAGTGAAGATTTTTAAAATGCTTACCATTGAAAAAGTTAAAAACTCTTCAGTGCCAATTAACCATTTATACCTAAGGTGTAATGAGAATTATCTTCCCTTATTGAAAACACTCAAGAAAAAAGACTTGATTTATCAGTCTCACAGTCCCCGAACCATATTATTTCCCCATTTACTCAGCTCTAAATAGGATGCCATAGTCCTCAATGAAGCAAGTCTAGATTTTCCACAGGTTCAGGATCTCACAGGGGCTCATTTTCATTTAAAATGTAATTATTTGTTTCTATCAAAATTATATATTTTCAGATACTAAGCGTTAGTCTAAGGCTTGATGTGCAGGGTTGAAAATAATTCTGAAATGTTATTATGTCCTAGTTAATTACATCATTACTAGTGTCTTTGTATCAAATACTTGTTTCACGTTTTAGTGTAATTACTTGCAACGATAGTTCAACTGTTGCAGTCTTTGTTCACCCATTGTACCATTTTTTATTAATCTTTTTGTTGCCACTCAGCAATAATCCAGCTATATAACAGCACCCATAGTATCAACAGAATCCTGTTTGCCAAGTTCTACCTTCAAAGTTGTTTTTATCCCTTGTCTATTCATTTCCTTTCAATGCAACTGCTCAATCAATGATCCCATGGCCTCCTCGCATGTGACGGTCCCTCTTTGTGTGCATGTGCTGACAGAGATCACTGACTGATAATCACCATAGACCTTGTAGACAGACCTCGAGGACTGTAACTACTCCACTGTATATGTCAGACCAGCTCCATGGTAGGACTCAGATCCATGGCGATCAAATTCAATTCAGGTTTTTAACTTCAATACGGTACCTCTCCAGGACACCTCCTTAAGTCGCATCAGTTGAAATTTTGAATCAGCCTCTCAACATTGAGGTTTTTAAGTTCTTGGTACAAGTGTGGACAGCATTCAGACGAGCATATGTGATATTTGTATCTCGAAAACAAACTAAAACAACACTTTCCTAATATAGATAAAAAAGGCCACGCCATTATATTTGTGGATATCTTGTATATTCCATGTCATGTTTGTGACCCCTGGCATAGACGCCAAGAAGGGAGTAGGATCATTGTTTTCAATGTTACCAATCAAAATCCCCAATCAAAGCAGTAAAGAAATGAAGCTGGATTGTTTTAGGAAGCAGACATCTGACTGGCACCCTTCTTATAGACTGGATGGTCAAAATGCTCAGATCTGCAGAGAGGCATCATTTTGGAGTAAAAGGTCTGATTTTAAATTAATTTATCAATGTTAAGGGCTCCGATCCATGGTAGGGCTCCGATCCATGGTAGGGCTCCGATCCATGGTAGGGCTCAGATCCATGGTAGGGCTCAGATCCATGGTTACTATTGATTCAGATCCATCATAGGACTCTGATCCATCATAGGACTCAGATCCATCGTAGATCTCAGATCCATGCTTACTATTGATTCAGATCCATCATAGGACACAGATCCATCATAGGACTCAGATCCATCGTAGATCTCAGATCCATGCTTACTATTGATTCAGATCCATCATAGGACTCAGATCCATCATAGGACTCAGATCCATCATAGGACTCAGATCCATGGTTACTATTGATTCAGATCCATCATAGGACACAGATCCATCATAGGACTCAGATCCATCGTAGATCTCAGATCCATGCTTACTATTGATTCAGATCCATCATAGGACTCAGATCCATCATAGGACTCAGATCCATGCTTACTATTGATTCAGATCCATCATAGGACACAGATCCATCATAGGACTCAGATCCATGCTTACTATTGATTCAGATCCATCATAGGACTCAGATTCATCATAGGACTCAGATCCATGCTTACTATTGATTCAGATCCATCATAGGACTCTGATCCATCATAGGCCTCAGATCCATCGTAGGACTCAGATCCATGGTTACTATTGATTCAGATCCATCATAGGACACAGATCCATCATAGGACTCAGATCCATGCTTACTATTGATTCAGATCCATCATAGGACTCAGATCCATCATAGGACTCAGATCCATCATAGGACTCAGATCCATGGTTACTATTGATTCAGATCCATCATAGGACTCAGATCCATCGTAGGACTCAGATCCATCATAGGACTCAGATCCATGGTTACTATTGATTCAGATCCATCATAGGACTCAGATCCATCATAGGACTCAGATCCATGGTTACTATTGATTCAGATCCACCGTAGGACTCAGATCCATCATAGGACTCAGATCCATCATAGGACTCAGATCCAAGATAATGACACCCCAGTAGCACCACATCCTCAAACCACCACCTATCCCTTTTGAAAATCAAATATAGGCACCATTGACATGAACCTTTGCAGTACTATTGAAGTACAATATATGAATACACACATCCAGTCCCCCAAAACTGAAGTAAAGAGCTCAATAAGTGAAAGCTTTCTATTACTTAACAAATGATAAGAATAAAATATCTTAAAATATTGTGTGCATGTAATGCCTACACAGATGAGTAGAACTGATAAACATGGAATGCTTTTCTTCAAACCTAATTATCATTCTGAACAGACAGATATGGTGACATCCTAAAGTCCTCTGGTGATTATCTCCCTACATAATCCCCCTGACAAGTCATCACCGGGAATAGCTACTTGACTGCTATGGGAGTTAAGTCCATCATGGGTCGCAGACCTGTCCTGTGAAGTGTATAGTGGCTTTGGTACAGACTCTCTCTCTCTCTCTCTCTCTCTCTCTCTCTCTTGTGAAGTAAAGAAAACCCACCGTTGGTTAAATCACCAAATTAACAGGCACATACAACAAACATAACATATCAAGATTAGGTTCAATGAAGCATGTTCCATCTGCTTGTGGTGTTTGTCCCTATCAATAGTACACCAGGCTACTGTGTAATAACCCATGTATATCCCAGCCACGGTTACAACTGAACAACGTGTACTACATTGACAACTCTTATTACCTTCTGTCGGTGGAGTCGATATGCTCTCTCCTGCTCATACTTCGACAAGATTCTACTCGCCACGGGTCTGTTCGAGTAAGGCATGGCGATAACTTCTGTCAACTGCCAACACTTGAAATATCCCTTTTTGAACACAAGATAAGCGTATATCCAAAGTTAAATATTCCAACGATGGTTAACTCATGATGAATGATAGCAAACCAGCGACTTGTGATAAAAGGTACTTATCAAGTCCATTGCGCTACCACCGTCGCAGGTGTAATTGGTAGCGAGTTTGATGAATGACAGGCGGCATGTATATTTCACACCTGTCTATTACGGTTGAGCCTGTTGGAGTCCTAACCGACAAGATGATTGACACGACTCGGTGCTATATGTCTTCTGTATAATACCATGAAGTATACAACGGTACACACAATGATCTGTGTACGGACTGACGGCTCAGCGTGACAGTGGGGGCACTGCCATGACGACGGAGTAAACTATTACCGTAGACTCCCAAAGAATAGCGCCGCTACGCTTAATCTCTGTGCATACTGTTACTGTTATGTGGATATATGTGGTTTAAATATTGTTCTGGTTGGTGTTTTGGAACATGATTTTGACTTGATGTTTGTGTCAAGTTTGGGTCCTTTCAACCGGACATGATGAAGCCTGTCGAACAATGAACGGTCCGTGAACTCGACAACTTACCGATCGATTGTTTAGCGATGAATGGATTACCTCTTGCGAAACCATCGTCTTTCACTGCAACTATTAGAGCGCGGAACAGACAAGTTCTATTAAAATAATTATTGTTATTATGCTTTTGTTATTACTGTTAATGAACACACATCAGGTTGAACTATAACACATATGTTTGTTTGTGTCTGTTAGTTTGTTTGTTGTTTAACGCCACACTCAGCAACATTCCAGCTAAATGACGGCTGTCTGACAATAATCGAGTCTGGACAAGACAATCCAATGATTGACATCATAAGCATTGATCTACGCAGTTGGGAGACGATTATATGCATCAACAAAGTCAGCGAGCACGACCACCCGATCCCTTTAGTCGCCTCCTATACAATCATGACAAGCATGGTTTGCTGAAGATCTATTCTACGCCGAATAACACATGTATGCATCAATGTTAATATGTGTGACAAAAGAAATGATAAAATCTTTGACAATTATTGTCATTGGAATGTTCGCGTAATAAATATAAGAGATAAATAGTGTACCTGGCTAGTCAACATGTTGTGCTATGTTCGTTTGTTTGTTTGTTGTTTAACGCCTCACTCCAGCTATATGACGGCGATCTGTAAATAATGGAGTCTGGGCCAGACAATCCAGTGACTGCTATCATGAGCATTTATCCACGCAATAGGGATACGATGACATGCATCAACCAAGTCAGCGAGCCTGACCACCCGATCCCGTTAGTCGCCTCTTACGACAAGCATAGTCGCCTTTTACGGTAAGCATGGGTTGCTGAAGACCTATTCTACCCCGGATCTTCACGGGCCTTGTGCTACGATATACAGTGCTTGGGCGTTATCCATTATTTGTTTGGTCGTTTGTTTGTTGCTTAACACCAACGGCTGTGAAAAAAGTCTAGACTAGACAATCCAGTGATTGATATTATGAGCAACGTCCTACGCCGTCGGGGTATGATGACACAATACCAACCAAGGATACAGGGCCTGATCATCTCACCCGAGTGGCTGCTGGAACCCCAACGGTATTAAGAAGTATATTTGTGAAAGTATTATTTGCACCAGACCTCGGGATAAAGAGTGTTACGAATGCTTTTGTGATCAGGTCAGGGTCTATAATGCTGCTATTACAACTGGCCATATCATAACATGTTTTGCCAGATTTCGGTTTTGAAGTTTAGAATGTTATAAACCACGAATTAACGACCATAATATAAAGGATGTTAAAAGCAGAATTTGTGACTCACCCAAATTTCAATTCAGAAACATCTTTTTGCTGATTATTATATACAGATATTTAAGAAAATCAACACAAAAATCATTAAGAAAATGAATCTCTAATGTTAAACTTTCTTCCCACACATTAGCTATGAAAAACGGAAGATACTCTCAAATATGACCACAGTTTTAAGATATATATAATGCAAAGCCAGATATATAATACAAAAGCTATTATCTAGTATTTTTGAGAAAAATAAATAAAATCGCGGTTAAATGTTTTCTAATTTGCTATTGAAAATAAAATCTTGGCCTGTTTTTATATCGCTTGTAATTAACATTGAATTTATACGGTATTTCAGAATTTGCACTTTCATGACAAATGTTTCGATCTTTGGTCAAATGGTAGGGTCCGGGGTCAAAACAGCTAATCAGGACCATTTGGACGATTCGGACACATATTCTTGCATTTTGGAAACATGCGTATTAAAACAGAAAACAATCCAGGGTTGTGATAAAATGATGTCGAAAGACTGAACCAGAGTAGTCTTTGTCCATCCCCTATTTGTATGCATCTAGCGTTCTGCTGATATGGCTATGTGTTAAATTATTATATACAAAAGGTCGGGGAACAAATAAAACCGCATTTGAGCAGATACTAGTACCTGGATACCTGCCGTATAATATAATATAATTAAAACCCTCAAAACAATTCCTGACTTATCACTAGTCACAGTTCGTTCTTGATCAAAAGTTGTTGTTAGTGTTGTGAGATATAGGTGTTATGGTATGATTCAATGTATCCGATTGGATGGCGTTATCGCGAAATATGATATTATATGTACGCTTCAATAGAATATCTGTTTCAGAGGGCCTGTAAAGTATCCTGGGTTGCACGAGAGTGAGGCTACTGATTTTTACACCGCCCGCAGAAAGTGTTCAGTTGTGTCAAGGCGGGTTCTAATACTCATTGCGAGTGTTCACATGTTCACGTTTATCATAATGGGCATTGTAAGTGTTGACATGTATCATGATACGCATTGTAAGTGTGTGTATCATGATACGCATGTAAGTGTTCACGTTATCATGATACGCATTGTAAGTGTTGGCATGTTCACATACATCTAATACTCATTGCAAGTGTTCACATGTATCTAATACGAATTATGTGTTCACATGTATTATGGTACGCATATACATGTTCACATGTATCATAATACGCATTATAAGTGTTCACATGTATTATGATACGCATTATAAGTGTTCACATGTATCTAATACGCATTTCAAGTATTCACATTTATCATAATACGCGTTATAAGAGTTCACATGTATCTAATACGCATTTCAAGTGTTCGCATGTATCATAATACGCATTTCAAGTGTTCACGTGTACCAAGATACGCATTATAAGTGTTCACATGTAATATGATACGCATTATAAGTGTTCACGTGTATCATGATACGTATTGTAACTGTTCACGTGTATCATGATACGTATTGTAACTGTTCACATGTATCATGATACATATTGTCACTGTTCGCATGTATCATGATACGTATTGTAACTGTTCGCGTGTATCATGATACGTAGTGTAACTGTTCACGTGTATCATGATACGTATTATAAGTGTTCACATGAATCATGATACGCATTATAAGTGTTCACATGTATCATGATACGTATTGTAACTGTTCACATGTATCATGATACGTATTGTAACTGTTCACATGTACCATGATACGTATTGTAACTGTTCACATGTATCATGATACGTATTGTAACTGTTCGCGTGTATCATACGTATTGTAACTGTTCACATGTATCATGATACGTATTGTAACTGTTCACATGTATCATGATACGTATTGTTACTGTTCACATGTATCATGATACGTATTGTAACTGTTCGCGTGTATCATACGTATTGTAACTGTTCACATGTATCATGATACGTATTGTAACTGTTCACATGTATCATGATACGTATTGTAACTGTTCACATGTATCATGATACGTATTGTAACTGTTCACGTGTATCATGATACGTATTGTAAATGTTCACATGTATCATGATACGTATTGTAAGTGTTCACATGTATCATGATACGTATTGTTACTGTTTACATGTATCATGATACGTATTGTAACTGTTCACATGTATCATGATACGTATTGTAAGTGTTCACATGTATCATGATACGTATTGTAACTGTTCACATGTATCATGATACGTATTGTAACTGTTCGCGTGTATCATGATACGTATTGTAACTGTTCGCGTGTATCATGATACGTATTGTAACTGTTCACATGTATCCTGATACATATTGTAACTGTTCACGTGTATCATGATACGTATTATAAGTGTTCACATGTATCATGATACGTATTGATACTGTTCACGTGTATCGTGATACGTATTGTAACTGTTCGCATGTATCATGATACGTATTGTAACTGTCCACGTGTGTCATGATACGTATTGTAACTGTTCACATGTATCATGATACGTATTGTAACTGTTCGCATGTATCATGATACGTATTGTAACTGTCCACGTGTGTCATGATACGTATTGTAACTGTTCACATGTATCATGATACGTATTGTAACTGTTCACATGTATCATGATACGTATTGTAACTGTTCACATGTATCATGATACGTATTGTAACTGTTCACATGTATATTGATACGTATTGTAACTGTTCGCGTGTATCATGATACGTATTGTAACTGTTCACATGTATCATGATACGTATTGTAACTGTTCACATGTATCATGATACGTATTGTAACTGTTCACATGTATCATGATACATATTGTAACTGTTCGCGTGTATCATGATACGTATTGTAACTGTTCGCGTGTATCATGATACGTATTGTAACTGTTCACGTGTATCATGATACGTATTGTAACTGTTCACATGTATCATGATACATATTGTAACTGTTCGCGTGTATCATGATACGTATTGTAACTGTTCGCGTGTATCATGATACGTATTGTTACTGTTCACATGTATCATGATACGTATTATAAGTGTTCACATGTATCATGATACGTATTGTAAGTGTTCACGTGTATCATGATACGTATTGTAACTGTTCGCGTGTATCATGATACATATTGTTACTGTTCGCGTGTATCATGATACGTATTGTAACTGTTCGCGTGTATCATGATACATATTGTAACTGTTCACGTGTATCATGATACTTATTGTAACTGTTCACATGTATCATGATACATATTGTAACTGTTCGCGTGTATCATGATACATATTGTAACTGTTCACGTGTATCATGATACGTATTGTAACTGTTCGCGTGTATCATGATACGTATTGTAACTGTTCACGTGTATCATGATACGTATTGTAACTGTTCACATGTATCATGATACATATTGTAACTGTTCGCGTGTATCATGATACATATTGTAACTGTTCACGTGTATCATGATACGTATTGTAACTGTTCACATGTATCATGATACATATTGTAACTGTTCACGTGTATCATGATACATATTGTAACTGTTCGCGTGTATCA